CATTGGTGGCGCACGCCTTTAATCCCAGCAATCGGGAGGCAGAGGCAGGCGGATCTCTGTGAGTTCGAGGCCAGCCTGGTCTACAAGAACTAGTTACAGGACAGCCTCCAAAGCCACAGAGAAACCCTGTCTCGAAAACAAACAAACAAACAAACAAAAAACCCCAAAAAAACAAACAAACAAATGCCGGGCGTTGGTGGCGCACGCCTTTAATCCCAGCACTCGGGAGGCAGAGGCAGAGGCAGAGGCAGGCGGATCTCTGTGAGTTCGAGGCCAGCCTGGTCTCCAGAGTGAGTGCCAGGATAGGCTCCAAAGCTACACAGAGAAACCCTGTCTCGAAAAACCAAACCAAACCACACAAAACAAAAACCATGTGGGCACTGAGGATTGAACACAGGTCATTTTAGGCTTCACCACAAGCATTTTTACCTGCTGAGCCATATTTGCCCATCTGGTAGTCTGTAACTTTATGAAAATGGAGTTTTACATTCTATTAAGCATAATGCCCATGAGAATCATTTACATTTCCTGTGAATCAATGGTTCATTTTAATTTCTGAGTAATATTCCGTATGTGAATGCACACTTTGTTTAACCATTTCACGGATATCTAGGTTGTTTCTTTTTGCTCATCACAAATCAAGCTGCTATGAACATTTGCATGTTTTCATATAAACATAAGTTTTCATTTTTTTCTAGGATGCATGCTCAGGAGGAAGTTGGCTGGTCATATGCTAGATACAAAAAAGTGACAAACTGCTATGTGTGGTGGCGTATACCTACAATCCTAGAGCTTGGAAAGCTCAGATAAGAGGAGTGCTACAAGTTCAAGTCAGCCTGGGATCCATAGCAAAAAGCTGCCTCAAATAAAACAAAACACCTCCCAAACCAAACCAAACCAAACCAAACTAAAAAGGAAGTGTCAAACTGGTTTTTGGTTCATGATACAGTAAAACCCACATGAGGACTGGAAAAATGGCTACTGGATAAAGACACCTGCTGCCAGGCAGGATATGACACTCTCATGAAAAAATATTCTCCTCACTAGAAATGTACAGACTACATTGTAACAGATAAATCTTGGGGTTTGTCAAAATCTAAATAAAACATCCACAATTCTTCCTGTGACTCTTTCCAGTCTTCTACTCATGGACATGTTACATAAAATTATGATTAGGTCAATTTTTCTGACAGGCATGGTGGTGTATGCCTTTAATCCCAGTACCCAGGAGGCAGAGGCAGGTGGATCTCTGTGAGTTCGAGGCCAGCCTGGTCTACAAAGCTACACAGAGAAACCCTGTCTAGAAAAATCAAATAAATAAGCAAGTAAGCAAACAAACAAATTTCTTCGCTACAAAGTTCACTTCTGATATTACACTAGTTACTGATTTTCACTAGTATTTTTCACAAAATGAAAGCAAATTTGCTAGAACTTTTCAATTTCATTTAAAGCATAGAATTGTTCTTAATACCTCAGTTGTTACACAGACAACATTGAACCTAAATTTCTAAAACTTATGAGAAGCCGGGCGTTGGTGGCGCACGCCTTTAATCCCAGCACTTGGGAGACAGAGGCAGGTGGATCTCTGTGAGTTCAAGTTCAGCCTGGTCTACAAGAGCTAATTTCAGGACAGCCTCCAAAGCCACAGAGAAACACTGTCTCGAAAAAAAAAGAAAAAAAAAGAAAAAAAAAACAAAAAAACATGAGAAACTGTACCATGTGCTATGTGCTGTTTGGAGCAGAACATCATTTCCATCCAGTCCATACTAAAACAGTAAAAAAAAGGAAGTGATTTACTTACAACTTACCCAAATTGACACAATTGAACTACTAATTACTGTAAAATTATTTGGCACACAGTCTGATTTTTCTATTACTTCAGGAGGAATTTTGCTTAAACTGTAAATTTTCCACTGCTGCCTATTAATGTTCTAGCTGCATCATTCTGAAACTTGAATCTATGAAAAGCTGCATATAGTTCTAGCAAAGAAGGTCTAGCAAAGAAATGGAAATGTATTTTGAATGCTATTCTACGCCCTGGTGCTTTACTGGTAAGTAAAAATGTTTAAAAAAAACCCTCATTTTTATTGGTATTTAGATGTTTCTTTTAACTTTTATTGTTGATTTGATCAAATATACCATAATCTTTTTTTTTAAGTTGCAGGACCATAACAATAAGCTCAATGGATAGAGGACCTAAGACACAGAAGTGGAAGGAATATAAT